CTTACTCATTCTTGAACTTACTCACTCAGGAACTTACTCATTCAGGAACTTACTCATTCAGGAACTTACTCATTCTTGAACTTACTCATTCAGGAACTTACTCATTCAGGAACTTACTCATTCTTGAACTTACTCATTCAGGAACTTACTCACTCAGGAACTTACTCATTCAGGAACTTACTCATTCAGGAACTTACTCATTCTTGAACTTACTCATTCAGGAACTTACTCATTCAGGAACTTACTCATTCTTGAACTTACTCATTCAGGAACTTACTCATTCAGGAACTTACTCATTCTTGAACTTACTCATTCAGGAACTTACTCATTCTTGAACTTACTCATTCAGGAACTTACTCATTCAGGAACTTACTCATTCTTGAACTTACTCATTCAGGAACTTACTCATTCAGGAACTTACTCATTCAGGAACTTACTCATTCAGGAACTTACTCATTCTTGAACTTACTCATTCAGGAACTTACTCATTCATGAACTTACTCATTCTTGAACTTACTCATTCAGGAACTTACTCATTCAGGAACTTACTCATTCTTGAACTTACTCATTCAGGAACTTACTCATTCAGGAACTTACTCATTCTTGAACTTACTCACTCAGGAACTTACTCATTCAGGAACTTACTCATTCAGGAACTTACTCATTCATGAACTTACTCATTCAGGAACTTACTCATTCAGGAACTTACTCATTCTTGAACTTACTCATTCAGGAACTTACTCATTCAGGAACTTACTCATTCTTGAACTTACTCACTCAGGAACTTACTCATTCAGGAACTTACTCATTCAGGAACTTACTCATTCAGGAACTTACTCATTCAGGAACTTACTCATTCTTGAACTTACTCATTCAGGAACTTACTCATTCAGGAACTTACTCATTCAGGAACTTACTCATTCAGGAACTTACTCACTCCGGAACTTACTCATTCAGGAACTTACTCATTCTTGAACTTACTCACATGTTGCTGTTGTGTAATTAGGAACTTACTCACTCAGGAACTTACTCACATGTTGCTGTTGTGTAATTAGGAACTTACTCACTCAGGAACTTACTCACACGTTGCTGTTGTGTAATTAGGAACTTACTCACTCAGGAACTTACTCACACGTTGCTGTTGTGTAATTAGGAACTTACTCACTCAGGAACTTACTCACATGTTGCTGTTGTGTAATTAGGAACTTACTCACTCAGGAACTTACTCACACGTTGCTGTTGTGTAATTAGGAACTTACTCACTCAGGAACTTACTCACACGTTGCTGTTGTGTAATTAGGAACTTACTCACTCAGGAACTTACTCACACGTTGCTGTTGTGTAATTAGGAACTTACTCACTCAGGAACTTACTCACATGTTGCTGTTGTGTAATTAGGAACTTACTCACTCAGGAACTTACTCACACGTTGCTGTTGTGTAATTAGGAACTTACTCACTCAGGAACTTACTCACACGTTGCTGTTGTGTAATTAGGAACTTACTCACTCAGGAACTTACTCACACGTTGCTGTTGTGTAATTAGGAACTTACTCACTCAGGAACTTACTCACATGTTGCTGTTGTGTAATTAGGAACTTACTCACTCAGGAACTTACTCACACGTTGCTGTTGTGTAATTAGGAACTTACTCACTCAGGAACTTACTCACACGTTGCTGTTGTGTAATTAGGAACTTACTCACTCAGGAACTTACTCACACGTTGCTGTTGTGTAATTAGGAACTTACTCACTCAGGAACTTACTCACACGTTGCTGTTGTGTAATTAGGAACTTACTCACTCAGGAACTTACTCACACGTTGCTGTTGTGTAATTAGGAACTTACTCACTCAGGAACTTACTCACTCAGGAACTTACTCACACGTTGCTGTTGTGTAATTAGGAACTTACTCGCTCATTCAGGAACTTACTCACTCAGGAACTTACTCACACGTTGCTGTTGTGTAATTAGGAACTTACTCGCTCATTCAGGAACTTATTCAGGAACTTATTCAGGAACTTACTCACTCAGGGACATACTGCAATGGGGACAAGTTTTCTCAGCAACTACTGAAGTTACATGAATGAAGGTTCCATGCTTATCTAAGAGATACACATGGTGCCAAAAATTATCATTTTCTATAGTGCCATCCCTTGCTTCATCTTTTTAGATTTGGTGCATACAGTTACAGCCCTTGATCCATGTTAGTTTGAAAATAAGATTTTCTCCAGACATAAAGCCATCCTATCTCTTCTTAAAGATATGTAGGACTCTTCTTTTCATAGTTAACAATTAATTCACGACTATATAAACAAACAAAATTCTCACGGCGGGGGATGGTGATAATGCTGTTTTCTTGTTGATTTTTCAAGTATTGTTTATGTATTGTCAACTTTTCAATAAGACCCGGTTACTAAGAGTATGCTTCCAGATCATAATGCACTCAACAGCATTGTTTAAAGGTTTCCAAGTTCTGAATGTGGTTCATGAAATACTGCAAATCTTGAAATTAACGCGAGCGTGAATTAAATGCGAAAAATGCGAGGGGTCTTGGCTCGCATTATTAAACATCGCATTTATATCAACAAAAAGACATTTTGGATAGCAGAAATACCAACTTAGACATGCGCTGGAAACAAACAACTATGTATTCCACATTACTGTTTATTGAGCAGCACTTGTAACAAGTATATAAACAATGCCATTCAGACACTAATAACATCCTGTGTATTGTCACTACTCGGGTCAAGACGAGTTCTACTCACTTACGTCATCACTGATCACACCTGCAAGTCCAGACAGACACCACCTACGCAACACGGTGTGTTTGTTCTTTGCGACTGAGTCAAAGGCCGACACGAGCCAGCGCGCATGCATGTCCTGACAGAGGATATTTTATTTAGATAACATATCCACTAATGCTTGAGAGGAGGGGGGTGTCGCATTCATATTGAGTCGCATTTTTGGCCAGGGGCCAGCATTCTTATTCTTTTGCAGACGCATTAATTTCATGATTTACAGTACCAAAGTAGATAAAACTCAATTTTATCACCACCATACTTACCTTTAGATCAATCAAGTGACTGCTGATCACTGCAATCAACATTCAAATATATCTTTGGATGATAAAGTCTTAAATTAAATTCAGAACACCGGGCCAATATGTAGCACTAAACTATACTAAAATTCTTGCAAAAATTTGATTAAAGGGAAAAACTAAAGCTTTCTGCTAAAAGTTAGTGAAATCGAATCAACATTTTTCTAACTTCTGTTTAAAAATTTCCCAAAATTGGCAGTCAAACATAATAGGTTTCTTCGAGATTGACTTCCATCTTAGGTGGGGTTCTGAATGATTATTATCGACCAGTTGAGCCCCAGATGTGATATTCTCCAGTTAAGATAAGGAATGGATTTCTTTGCAATTGAAAGCTTACACATCACTAGACTCTCTAGTTCCACCAATACAAATGTTGTTGTTATCAAACACATGCAGATTAAAGTCAACTCGCTCCATTCATGTTACTTAGATCAGTGCTGAACAGCTGATACCAGCGAAATGCAATGCATTAATGTGTGTCAGTGATGTAATGAAGTGGAGTCCGTTCTCAAGTAACCTGAAGACATGCATTATAAATGAGTGGGGCAGAGTGAGTGAGTTGGGTTTAACGCTGCTTTTAACAGTATTCCAGTTATATCGCGGCGTGTCAGCTTAATGTCGGAGGAAAGCCCGAAGTGATGCAGGTCTCAGATGTTTACCACTTCGGTGAAACCCACGAGCACGGGTATGGTGCTCACAAACCTAGAAACATAACTGGGGCAAACCGGGATTCGAACCCACGATCATAGGTTTCTGGCGTGCCCAAGGGACGCAACTCTGCACAGTGAATCGTGGTGCCTTAGACGACTGGGCCACCCGTGCCCCAGAGTGGGGCAGAAGGTGAATACAGTAGCTCAGTAGGCTTAAGTGTTAGCTTAAAGGGAGTTAAGTCTGGGTTTTGAACCTGAAAGGACAAGGTGGGATAAGGCAACCTTTTGGCTCACAGGATCTGCATAATTTAAGAATTGAGCAAAATGTTTAGAAATTGTTTTGAAAGTTGGCAGATATGTTGACATGAATGAGAACAAAAATGGTTGATGGTGAATGGTTGACTGTGAATGTTTGATGGTGAACGGTTGACTAAATGCATGGTTGATGGTGAATGTATGATGATGAAATGTTGACTGAATGCATGGTCAATGGTGAATGGCTGACTGAATGTTTGATGGTGGATGGTTAACTGAATGCATGGTTGATGGTGAATGGTTGGCTGTGAATGCATGGTTGAGGGTGAATGGTTGACTGTAAAGGCATGGTGAATGGTTGACTGAAGGCATGGTTGATGGTGAATGGTTAACTGAATGTTTGACTGTGAATGCATGGTTTATGGTAAGTGTTTGACTGTTTTATTCAGAATGGTATAACACAGAAGTAGTAATTGCTTTCACTGTACTTTCCTGTACTTTTTACCAGTACCTTATCCTTTTATCACCCCACCAAAAACACCATCCCATGTGTGGTTTCATGTATTGTTTCTGTGTGTGTGATTGTTTGTTATTCCACAATTCAACAAAATTATTCCAATCCATTTTTATTTCCTTGTAACACCTGTCAAAAATGATTCCATTTTGATATAAATTTGTTTCAATATATTGTCTGTGGCTTTTGAATTTGCTGTGCAGAGTTGCTTCCCTTAGTCAGATTCGTGGGTTTGTATCCCAGCTTTGCCTTAATTATGTTTCTAGGTTTGTCAGCACCATACCCGTCCTCGTGGATTTCACCATAATGGTAAACGTCCGAGACCTGCATCACTTTGGGCTTTCCTCCCACATTAAGCTGAAATTGCTTGATGTGACTGGAATGCTATTCAAAGTTGCATTGAGCCCAAAATATTTACTTTTACACAAATTATGATTGACTGTTTGATTTGATTCTACGAAACTGTTCCATTGTGTTTTCAGTTCACTGTAACACCAGTCCAAAATGATCTCAGTCCGACATCACCAATCCAGAACCAGAATGATCTCCAGATCCCACATATCCGGATTCCTATCTACAACTCGAACCGGAATGAGTATCAAAGGTCACCAAGGTTATCCAGGGCTCCACGTTCCCCACGAATTCCTCGATCTCCGAAACTGCCCAAACTTAGCCCTGTTAATGCAAGTAACAAAAACGGACCTCAGACTCCCCTTACCCAGTTCGACTTTGCCGACAGCGAAACAGAACCAACGGACACCTTGACTCAAAACAGTATTACAGCGCTCCTGTCTTCCAAGTTCAAAGTAAGTACCAAGTAAATTAGAAAATGAAAGAGAGCGTGTGCTGCATTCTGATTGGTTGAAAAACTTCATCAAATAGGATTGAATCCCAGAAATCTTTTATGTAGTGTATAGATACTTTTTTTATGAGTATATTGTTATTCTCAATTCCAAATTTGAAAAACATGTACAAAATGTATTCCATATTAATTACATATATTAGGTTTGATCATATTTATCAAAACAACATCCATTTTGTCGCACAACTGTTTAAGACTTCTTTCTGCCCCTTGAATGACACCTTATGAAAGGGCAAGAAGTGGTCCTGGGCCCCGTTGCGCAAAGTTATCTTAGTGCTATGACTGTTGTAAGCCTATGTTAAAGTTTGGGAGTTATGATCACCCGAGCGCTGAGGCTGCTTTGTGCAACGGGGCCCTCAAACATTGTGTTTGTTAATAGTGAAGTTGTTAGGATGATACTCTTTGTCCTGATTTTTTATAATTAAGAGAATCTCGCTTAACTGTCTATTGATATGAAATACATCAGCACTTGTCGATTAAAAAGTTTTAAGTGAGTGAGTAAGTATGGTTTTACGCTGCTTTTAGCAATATTCCAGCATTACCACGGCAAGGGACACCAGAAATGGGCTTCACAAATTGTATCCATGTCGGGAATCGAACCCAGGTCTTCGGCGTGATAAGCGAACGCTTTAACCACTAGGCTACCCGACCGCCCAAAAAGTTTTAAGACTCCACAGTATGCCTTTTAGTTTTAGACTTGTGTCAACTCTTTTTGAAATTTTTATACCAAAAACTCTCTGAGATTCTCTGTTATACTATTTCCAGCATGTTTTGCTTAAGAAATGAATTACATATTTTATATGCCCTTGGGAACTAGCTACCAGAATATTTGTCATTCTGTTTTAGTCAATTTTAGTCCTGACAGAGACTTTATGCCACCTTTGGGAATATCAGAGCCTTTAAACTGCAAAGTAAATTTTCACGATGACAATTTCAAATGTTGTTAATTACAGCACCTGGTAAAGTATGGAATATAATTTAATCAGCTGATGTACATGTCAAGCAAGTCAAACAACATGTCCAGAAAACATTAAGATTTAATTTCAAAACAAAAAATTCTTTAGTTTACAGATTTTTACCAAAGACATAATAGTTTTAACATTTAGGAGATAGACATGCTGTGTTTTCCATGTTGAGCTAGGTTAGCCTACTTGTAGATTTTACCACACTAAATTGAATTTGGAACTAAACGATAAAACATTTTTAAGTCCCTTTTAATTCTGTACTGGCAAATTCAAAGTCTTTTAAAAGCATTTGCAACCTTGGGTACTGTGGGACTTAATGCAAGGATTGAAAGGGGCAAATCTGGGATTTGAATCCATGATCAGCTGATCCTTGCATGGCTAAGGGACATAACTCTGATAGAAAATTGAACACCGCTCAGACATGTTGTAAATGAATACAGTACATGAACATACTGTTTCCACAAAAAACTGTTGAAAGAGCATCAGCTGCACAAAGACTGACATACCTCCGATGTTGTTCACCTACAGATTCCACACATGCCAAACTTTAACATGGAATACAACAAGATACTTATGTAAGGTTAGCTATGTCATTCTTGTCATTTCCTGCTTGTATTGATCGTTTGCTCTGACCAAATCACCTGACACAGCTAAAAATAAATAAATTTTCACATGTCACATTTTATTATGTCAAGCATTAGTAAATTAACAAACAAAAAATAAAATATTTATGATCAGATTGAAATATATAGAGAATATTCGCTGAGTGAATTTTGACATGAAATATATCAACACGATTCAAAAAAAGTTTAAAACAGGCTTGCTGAGATGATTTGGTTAACTTTATATCAATAAGTGGTGATAGGTTTGTTATCAAGACACAAGGTTGAGATTCTATTGTTAAGACTTTCGCAATTTGTAATCAGAAATAACCAGTGTATTGAGTGTCAAGTCAAGTACAGCTAACCAGCTTCAGTGACAGAGAGGTTAATAATGTCATTTGATTTCGTTGTCATGGTGACCAATGATGCAAGAGTGATGGGAAAAATTTTGGTAATGGTTTTTCAAATGGGGGCGTCTGCTGACACATGAAACCATAAGCCAGCATGACAAGACTTGAAGACTCGTTTCTTGGACACCCCTCGCCTACACTGAACTGAGTTTGATATTATAATGCTAGATATTTCTAACTTGGGTATGTTTTTGATGATGCTATTGTGAACATGATTTTGGTATCTGCAGCTTATCTTTTCTGATAATTGATCTCAGATGTACCTGTACACTGTAATACCTGGTTGCACTTGGAGTAAGTGAGTGAGTATGGTTTTACGCCGCTTTTAGCAATATTACAGCAATATCAAGGCGGGGGACACCAGAAATGGGCTTCACACATTGTACCCATGTCGGGAATCGAACCTCCTCGGCGTGACGAGCGAACGCTTTAACCTCTAGGCTACCCGACCGCACCCTGCACTTGGATAGAACAGTCTATGGTTGTTTCATCAGCATCAAATGTTGTATTCATATGCTATCCTTATACCAGCAACATCATTTTTCAATGTAGAATTTCGATAATTTGAAAAGTTAAAGTGAATAATGATATATAGCCAATCTCATTAAAATCAGATCTTAGTTCTCGCTACTGCTAAACAAAGATGATAGGACATCCCATTATGGGTCACATCAGAACGACCTTTCGCGAACTTTGACCGACCAAAGGAATAACTGACAAGAAGTTGACATTAGCCAATCAGAAGGCAGCTTTCTCATGCTTTACGACTCTAGTTTCAAACTGGCGACTACGCTTCGAAACATATCTTGACAATTGTTGATTAAAAATTTGAAAACTGAACAAAAGAACATTCTTGACTGGCTAATAGATGGCCTGGATTGTATGGATTCAGTCATAAAGTCTGTAACTGTCGTTCGGAATACCCTGTGTTAAATGTTGGAGGTTGCATGATTAGAAAACACATTCCGACTGTCACATTCATGATCTGGTAAGCAATGCTGTGACTCGTCGGATGAAAGGTCGGTCTGACGTGACACACAATAGAATGTCCTCAGATATTTGTTAAGCGGTAGCGAGAACTAAGATCTGATTTTAAAGTGATTGATAAGTTGGTACACACTTCATCATCAGATAATGTTGTTATTACAACTCATGTACTTCAAATACACTTGTTATAAATATTGTTTCTAACAGGGATTTATTTTGTAATCATCTATATATCTCACCGAAGGGATATCTCCTGTGGAGTGAGTTGAGTATAGTTGTACTCCACATTTAGTGATATTTCAGTAATGTGATGGCAGGGGACACCAGAAATGGGTTTCAGATATTGTACCCATGTGGGGAATTGAACCTAGGCCTTCAGCTTGATGAGCGAACGCTTTAACCTCTGGGCTACCCCACCGCCCATCTCCAATGGAATTTTAGATGATAAGAACTGATGAACCAGATTGATATACGCGAACACACTTGACCACCAACCTAATGTAGATATTTGTCGGCATGATGCCAAGGTTATCTCAGCACAGACCTGATCCTTTAATTTCTTAAACAACAACCAATCACATTAAAACGAGATTTTTTACTGAATTTTGACCATCCAATTTAAGTGAGCCAATCAGATGTCAGCTTTCTAACACAATTCAGCTTCATTTCTTTACTATTAATTCAATTTGTTTTTATCTGCCAAAGAAAATCACTCCAGAAAACAAATATGTGCACAGAGACAATGAGAGAGCCACAACATTATAATATTATGCTTCTTGCATACAAATTTCCTCAATTATATATGTTTTGGAGATACAGAAATAAGAATGTCTGAATGCTTCACGCACTCGTACAGAGTAATTAGAAGACTTTACGCTGATTAGAAAGTATGGGGGTGTGGTCAGATCTTCACGCAGAGAGTAGGGCTGGAACGAGTCCAAATTAACTACCCGGGTACCCACCCACCTATTACCCGACCCTACGCGGGTACCCGCTGTAGGTCTCAAGAGATGGGTACAAAATGTCCGATTGGGAATATTTTGACTATAGCCCTGGACGAAATGTATTTAGATACACGAATAGAACGATCTGGTCATGCATACACTGGGTTTGACTGAAGTTTTATCTTTATTCGAACATATATAAACGTCTGGGTGCATAGTCCAAAAGAAATGCCAACATTAGTCACTTGTGGTGTGACGATATAGTTCAAGATCATTTTTGTCATTAAACAATTTATCACATGACTAACCACAGGTCTGGGTAGTTCTGTGGGTTCCTGGATCCTTCTCAGTACCCACCTGACCCGAGTACCCGAGTTACCCGTTCAGGCCCTAGTAGAGAGGTATTGTGTTGGAGATTAAAACAACACCAAAGATTCAATCTTTGAACAGTTCTGATTTACAAAAGAGTTCTTTTGACAGTATACATCTTCCCGAGGCAAGAGAGTTAACTGACTTTAAAAGTCCAGTTTCCACCCTTGCCGAACTAGGCTGGAATTACTGGGCTCGATCGTAGCGCCACCAGTGGGTATCACCAGTTATGTCCCTTCTAAGCCTCTCCTAAGGACCAATCAGATTCCACCTCTCGTATCACTTGCGTTTGCTTCACCCAAAATGGTGGCGCCGAGTCAGGACGATCTGATCAATAATTAAGATCTATATTGTGATAAAACGGGTCTTACATTGCAAAATGCATCAAATCACGTAAGCACCTTGATTAAAAACATGAAAAGATTTGGAAAATATCTGCTGACAACGAGTTGGCGTTACACATGCTTTGCAAATCCTGTAATCGGTCGAAATCTGCACGACAGTTTACGAACCGGTGCGCGATTTTTGATTGGACTATGCATAGACTCGTTAGTCCAGCCAAAATGTAACTCCATAATACCAGCCTAGTTCGGCAAGGGTGGAAACTGGACTTTCATAGTCGGTTAACTCTCTTGCCTCGGGAAGATGGACAGTATAAGGATAAGGG